GTGGACAATAGAGCTAACGTGAACAACAACAACAACAACAACAACAACAACAACAACAACAACAACAACAACAACAACAACAACAACAACAACAACAACGTACGTGCATGCAGATCGGGTGTCGTTATCCATCGAAAAATGAAAACGCATGCAGTTGTACTCTCCCGCCGCTCAGCTGACTCAGATATAAATGGACGAAGAAACGCACGATGTACGAGAAACGCACGCGGCTATTCTATATGCTTTGTGTCACCCGCTTCTACCACCAGGCAGGTTAGTTGCCGTGTGTAAACATGACATGTATGTACAACATAAGAACAGCAGAGTACCTAGTCTATATAGAATCTAGTTGTCATCTTGTTCGTGTTCGACTAAATTTCTCTCACGAAGCAACGCACATACGGGGATGCTGCAAGGGACAAGATGCAGTCTAGACTTAGCGAGTAAGGCTCGGCGATGGAAGAGATAAGATATCGACCATATCATGGCGCACGGGCAAATAATAAGTGAGACCACGATTGACTTGACCACGCACGGTGGACTGCTGTGCGAGTTGTCAAATCTCCAAATTATTAGACTACGCATCATCATCATCATCATCATCATCATCGAGTGTGTATGTAGTATAGCACCATGACAAATGTGGTGTAGTCTGCAACAGTAGCCATCTTCATGTATGTGTTAAGGAGTGTGGCTGCTAGCATGAATAGGGTACATCTTATTGTTGATAGGATGCGGGTCGGTCAGGAGGTATACCCTTCTGACCCCTACCCCCTTAGAATTGTCTACTCTGTGTACCCCCTGAGATGAAGTTGGATCCCCACTTCATCCCAGACCCTTGCTGATCGTCTCTCAGCAATAACAACCAACTTTCCCATCTCAACGTGGTCGGTCGTGGACAAGCGTGTCAACGACAGAACCTTCATCTATCTCTAGGAGCAAGCTACCGCCCACGGCTCCACTCCTTGAAACTTGGCGTCAGCGGCAGGGTCCGGGTATCCGTCAACGCAAGTCCGTCTTGGTTCGTCAAGGTCATCAACAGAGAGGTGCACGGTCTGGAGCGTGTGCTTGCTTATCTGGACATGTCATCTGTTTCGATGAGGAACCTCTGGGACACGTGCTGAACTTGATCGAGTTCTTCAAACGACTGCGACAGTACAACCTCAAACTGTCTCCAGGGAAAGCTCGCGTCGGCGCCACGCACGCCAACTTTCTCGATCACACCATCTCTCCGGCAGGTGTTAGCCCTGATGGCGTCAAGGTTAGGGCGCTCACGCACATGCCGCCGCCGACGAATGTTAAGCAGCTTCGGAGCCTTCTCGACAGACTCAGTTACTACCGGAAATTCCTCAAGAATCTCGCCACCAAGGTGCGGCCTCTCAACTCCCTTCTCAAACAAGGCGTCCCCTTCCAGTATACCCCGGGCATGGTCAAGGTTGTCAAAACGTTGTTAGGCGAACTCGCTCGCCCCCCCATTTTGGTCTTCCCGGACTGGACAGCGATCGAGGACAACAGCCGTCCTCTTCGTTTGTGTTCCGACGCGTGTATCGACGGTTTTGGCGCCTCCTTGGAACAAGAACAGCTCGATGGCTCGGTGAGACCCATCGTGTACATCAGCCGCGCTACTCTTCCTGCGGAGCGTAACTGGACCGTTTTGGATCTGGAGGCTGGTGGCATTGTTTGGGCCATCAAACGCCTTCGCGGTTATCTGTGGTCGACCAAGTCCATCATCTATTCGGACCACAAAGCATTGGAGAGCATTGGCAAGGTTGGGGAACACAACGCTAGGGTGCAACGATGGCTGGAATTCCTGTCCAACTTCACCTACACCCTGAAATATCGGAAAGGTTCGGCAAACGGCAACGCGGATTTTCTTTCGCGGTTGCCTTTACCAGCACAAGACACGGACAAAACCGGCCCCGACTGCATTGATGGTGTCGATCAAGCGGGTGTTTTCCTCATTTGGGCTTGCGGGCGCAACTATCACTCGTCGTCTACACCGGAGGTCGGTTTGGGTGGGCTCCGCCCTCCTTGCACGGCAGGAATCTTTTCGCCCCCAGCGTTGCAGCCCTCCGATTTTGGGGATTTTCGCCGACATCACCCGCGTCGGTTGGATGCTCTGACGGACTCAACGATTGCCTGCGAGAATTCTCAGCGGTCCCCGGGGGTCTTCATCGTCTCGCCTGTTCTCGCATCTTCAGGGCCTGCTTCCTCATTGACTTCGGATGCGTCCCGCGTGATGTCTCCTGTCGCGTCTTTGGCGACTAGATATGTGCACGTTTTGTCTTCGCTTCCGGAGCAGGGACCGCTCATTTCTTCACGGACTCGGGCCAAAACTACCGCTGTTTCCGGAGGCACCGTCACCGGTCCCGCTTGTTTCGGACGCCAGCCGCGGGCTACCATCGTCCCTCGGACATAGTCGCCTGCCCGTCGCTCTAGCAGGTCCCGCTCGACAAACAAAACCACCCGGACCGCCGCGCGTCCGCTGCCGCCATCCGCAACGCCGGCATCGGCGTTTTCGTCGTCTCTTGCGCCACCGGTGTCTTCCCTGTCAGCGGCGCGCCCTGCATCCCCGACTTCGCCTTCTCCACAGGTTTCGCCTGGGACTTCGCCATTCACGATGTCCCCTTCGCGGACATCACCACGGACTGCGGCTGCCCCAGTCGCTGAGGCTTCGCCTTCTTCCGCCTCTTCCGTTGGATCGCCTGATTTTTTTTCGGAATCTTCTGATTTGGACACCTCCCACTTGCGGGCTTGTGTTCAGAGTTTCAGCACTGTGGACTGGGCTAGGGAACAGCAGCGGGAGAGCGAGTGTGTGGTGGCTATGCGTTTTTTGTCTTGCGGTTCTCCCTCCCCACCCCCTCCGGGCTTGCTCACTCTCTGTGCTCCTCTTCGCTCCCCTCGGCTAGATGATGTGCTTGTGTTGGCGGCGAAAACCAGACTGCACACGACCGATGACAACATCACCCTCCTCGTACATAAATCGGCGACGTCGCCGGTTGGGCGCTGGCGGCAGGACCACTCGTCTGCCGGATACTGGCGTGCCCCGTGTCTACGTACCAATGCTAATGCGTCCGTGGGGCCTTCATGCATGCTATACCGCCGCGTCATTCCATCTCGGCGTCCATCGTACACAGCGTCTGCTCGAGCGCTTCTACTGGTGGATCGGTTTGGATCGTTCCGTACGCTGGTGGCTTCGGGCGTGTTTGGTGTGTCAATCTCGCAAGACTTGACGTCAGACTGCTCGGTGGCCCGTCATCGCTATGCCATTGCCGCAGGGGCCTGGTACGGTCGTCGGCGTCGACTTCTTCGGACCTCTGCCAGTGACTGCCAAGGGCAACTCCTACATTTTGTTGTTCACAGACCGTTTCAGTCGGAGAGCCGACATGTTCGCAGTTACAGCGGCGGAATTTACGGCGAGAGGGACGGCTCACATCTTCGTCAACCAATACATGACCAAGTGGGGATGTCCGACTACGTTATTGTCGGACAACGGACTGCATTTCTGCTCGAAGCTCTCCATGGCGATCTACGAGGTGATGAAGATCAAGAAGGTCACCACCAGCTCCTACCACCCACAGACCAACGGCGGCACGGAACGCGTCAACCACACGATGGCCCAGATGCTTGCGGTGGTCGTCAACGAACAGCAAAACGATTGGGACATACATCTCCCGCAGGTTGAGTTTGCCTACAACAATTACGTGAACCAGTCTACTGGATTAGCGCCAAACGAGATCCACATCGGACGCATCCCGCGACTCCCGCTTTCGGTCTTCGATCATCCCACGTTAAAACCCTAAGGTGGTCATCAGAGCTTGGCCCGCGATCAACTCGAGTATTGCAACCTGGCTGTCGATCGCCAGCGCCGGGCCTACGAACTTGTCCGTGAGTACAACGCGCTGAAGATTTCGCGAGTCGAACGCCGAAATTCATCCCTGCTGGACGCCATTCACAAGCTCCCTCAGTTTACCGTTGGCGGGTAGGTTTGGGTGTTTACAACACGGCTGCTACAATTCGACCGGGTGTACAGAAGGACACGGACCGACAGGTGCTCAAGGCCAAATTCGCACTTTCCTGGACGGGGCCCTACAAAGTTCTTGCGGTGGGTCCCACCTCTGCCGACGCCACTCCGGAAGGCCGCCCGTTGGCGCATAAACTCCTCTACCTGGACCTGCCTTNGGCCAAATTCGCACTTTCCTGGACGGGGCCCTACAAAGTTCTTGCGGTGGGTCCCACCTCTGCCGACGCCACTCCGGGCGGCCGCCCGTTGGCGCGTAAACTCCTCTACCTGGGCCTGCCTTCCGATCTTTCGGGCCTTGCAGCTCGTTGTCGCGTGTCTGTCCTTCGTTACAAGCCCTGTCGCAATCCGTACGAGACGAACGACTTGCCGCAATCCCTGCCCGCCGAGCTTTCGCGTTATGTTCTGCACTCTTTCGGAGATAAATGTCCATCTTTCCACGTCACCGCGGATGATGTGTCGGTGCCTGTCGGGCGCCTCGAGGTCGACTACATCTCGGGACATCAACTGGTGCGGGGCCGTAGCGGCGTTCTCGCTGTCCTATACCAGCGCATTGGGTAGGCCTGACTATTATTCCTTCATGGGAACGGGAATCCGACCTTGATCTATTCCGTCGACACATCCTCTTGATTTTTTTCTGTCACCTTCCGTTTTGTTTTGTTTTGTTTTGTTTTGTTTTTCTGTGTTGTCGCTTTTCTTTCGTTGGCTTATTTTGTTTTGGACGCTGGGGCAACGCCGCCTCAAGACACGCAGTGTCGAGTGATCATTCTTCCTTGTTGCCTGCATTCATCTGAATCAGTGAACTACCGCGACCTGGATGTCAGTTCTCTCTCGCCTTTGCTTATTTTTGTTGTTGTTGTTGTTGTTGGTCTTTGGTTCCCTCGACCAGCTCCCTCCGAAGTTTCGTCGGTGTTGCCTGCTTCTGAACACTTGGAAAAAGAGCTCCCCAAGTTTCGTCGGTGATGTTTGCCTCGGGACACTTGGACACCGAGTTCTCCGCGTTTTCCTGGTTCGCCTCTTCGCCAACTAATGTTGTCATATATATATATATATTTTTGTTCCATCGTGCCGCCGAAGTGTTGCATACACTTGGTGCTTCGGGGTATCATCCCGTGGCGTCGCCTTCTCCCATGGAATTCGTCGTCACCCACACTTCGTTCTGCTTCGTCTCCATCATCGCCACCTTCGGGCGACGCCTTCATCACAGTAGCGCCCCTGAGTCGTCGTCTTGTTGTGTCAATCTCTACGACTTTCTGTGTTTTATGTCTTTGAATGGTGCGTATCGCCAGCGAGCCATGGCGCAGTTCGTCGACCTCCTCTCTTGCATTAATCGCTTGTGCTTTGCATCCCTGGTCCTCATTAGGTCTTGCCCCTGCCGTCTCCTTATACGGGTTGGGTACCCTGGCACGCTGGCCATCGTTCTCCGTGCCTTTGCCTGTCGTTCTTTTCTCCTGCCCTTCGATAACGTCCTAGATTGCGTTGAGCTTTTCTTTTGCGTCGCGTCCAGTATCAAGGGCCGTATTCGTTCGGAAATTTGTTTGGGTTTTGAATTTCGTCACCGTATTTTGGAATCGCTCGGGTAGTCACCCTCATTGCTCCAGCGGTGATACGTGCGGGTGCGCGTAAAAGAGTGGTGTGTGGCGTCTGGATGTTGTTTTGTTTTTCCTGTCGTCGTCTGTTCAGGATGATAGCGTGCTCTGCCGCAATATATATTCTCCGTAGCTTTATTTATCCCTTCAAGCGTTGTCATTGAGATGTCGATGTTCCGTCTCGTGACCGTTCGCATTCTTCATCTCAATGATGGTGTGAGGGATTGATTCGGGATATTTATACAACTCACCCTCCTTTTGGATGTTTTGTGAAGAGTCATATCTTCGATTCATGATGATAAATCATCAGCTAAAATCTTACTTTAGCTTTAGACTAGAATTTGAGCATTGATTTGAGTACAGAATCTGCATATATTAATATATATGATGTTCACGGTGGGCTAGTGTAAAGGAGTGTGGCTGCTAGCATGAATAGGGTACATCTTATTGTTGATAGGATGCGGGTCGGTCAGGAGGTATACCCTTCTGACCCCTACCCCCTTAGAATTTTCTACTCTGTGTACCCCCTGAGATGATGTTGGATCCCCGCTTCATCCCAGACCCTGCCTGGCTGATCGTCTCTCAGCAATAACAAGCAACTTTCCCATCTCAACGTGGTCGGTCGTGGACAAGCGTGTCAACGACAGAACCTTCATCTATCTCTAGGAGCAAACTACCGCCCACGGCTTCACTCCTTGAAATATGTACGAATACACGGATGGGGAGGGTGCGAGAACGAGGATATTGCAATATGGTCACACGGCACACAACGCGCGGGTAGCACTTTTATTTGGTAATCACCCAGCTGTCTGCTACTACCCCCTGGAGTAACAGCAGCAATTATTGGCATCGCGGTTGTTTGTGTCTGTCTATGTTGTGGAAAAGAGGGTTTCGACCTCGACAGACGTTGGGTAGTTCCAACCTTTTTGAAGGTGGTCTCCACATTACCCCCCCCTTTTTCGAGGCTTCTTGTTTGCTAGACAAGAGAAGTCTTCTTGGGGTAACCGGACCCCGACCGGCTGGCGGCGAGTAGAACCCCCAATTTTTCCAACAATCTTCTTCCACATTACCCCCCCCTTTTTCGAGGCTTCTTGTTTGCTAGACAAGAGAAGTCTTCTTGGGGTAACCGGACCCCGACCGGCTGGCGGCGAGTAGAATCACCTTTTTTTCCAACAATCTTCTGTGCGTGTGTGCGGGTTCGCCACTTCCGCCACGCATTATTGCCAGAAGTTTCGAGTTTGATAGACAGCAGTCAGTGCATCGTTTCTTGGCCCACCCACCGTTTTTCTTTTTCCGTATTACTCCGGAAAAAATTAGGTGGGCAGCGGGTTTGGAACTCGCATCTTTTGCAACCAAATACGTACACCTGAGATCTCTTCGTCGACGCCATTATTATGGATAAGAGGGTTTTGTCCTCGACAGACGTTGGGGGGTTTCAACCTTTATGAAGGTGTTCTCCACAATGTTCGTGTTATTATTATAGACCAGCATCGACCGCGCTAACTAAACGGCTGACCAATGAAAATACGTCGTCAGTCTTATTGCGGTTGAAAACACACAACACTTACTTCTATCTGCCATGAACTGGGAGGCTAAAAAACTATCCTTCGGATCAAAGACAGAAACAGCAGCAGCAGCAGCAGTTACATACATACAGAAGAGAGCTGCACGCACGCGTCTACCAAGCAAGCAAGAGGCTATTTACCTTGTACTCTAGACTAGTTCGTTTAGGAGTACTTTCACCATTTTCCTCCTTCCTAGTTTCGCTACCATCATTCTGATCCTCCTCACTTTGACAGGAATCTCTGTGCAAGTTGAGGGATATCATTATTCACGACCAAAAAATCACGGAACATTTAACGAGATTTTTTTGAACAACATATTATATGGAGGCGTTTTCCCCCGAAAACGTGGAAAAAAAGCAACCCCAGAAGCGCTTATCCTCACCTCCACGAGCAAAGCCAACTCTACTGCTGACGTGCACCACAACAACTGTGTTGTACGGGCACCAAAACAACTGTATACGTGCACCAAATCAGCGTGTTTTTATGCTTATTAAGATTCTCCAAAAAATTCGCGCTTCGCGCGAAATAATTTAATTATATTTTGTTGGACCCCTAGTCTATGTTTTGTTTGTTGTTTTGTTTTTCTCCCATCATTGGACTCTGTCGTCTGCCCCTCTGGCCCCTATCCTCCACTTCTACTAGCTAGACGACCCAACCGGGGTCACATAGGAGGGGGGGATTGAACCCCCTCCTGCGGTTCATGCCTGAGGTATTTTTATCGCGAGAAGGGTACAGCAATCCCTTCCCTCGCGACTTACGAAGTCGATTATGGTTTACTAACAAACGAGCTTTGCAGCGCGTCGCTTTCATCCTAGACCAGGATTTATTTAGTAAGAACAAAACTCTCTCTGCCGGGACTCGAACCCATGACCTGGCCCTTAGCAGGCTGCGAGGCTACCCACTAGACCACCGGGGCGACCGGGGCCCTATGTATGGGAGGTGAGCTATTTTTGGGGGCTTGCTACTTTCACGGATCCATCCGGGTTTTTGACAGAAGCATCGGACAAGCGCACCGCGGGCGCTGTAACATCACTGAGAACGCCAGAAAGACCTGGTAGACTCACATCCAGGTCTGCTGTGGAGATGGACAAGCGGCAGAAGCGGCGTTCAGTCCGTTCTTGGTCCAAAACTAGACATTGCGTGGTGCTCTCGTCTTCAACTGCTGCTGCTGCTGCTGTTGTTGGTGCTGGGGAATTTTTTTCAATCACAGATACAAACACGGAAACAGTAGAACGAGTACAGCAGCAGCACCAAGACTTCAAACGCGCTGTTTCCTTCGGTTCGGTTGTCTATATGATACCACCTCCCGGCGCCGTGCTGCTTCGTGGGTATTGGGTGCTTGGGTGCTGCTTAAGTTGTGTGAGAGACGTGTGCCACCTCACCAAAATGCCGTTGGAAAAAATGCGGCGAGATTATCTGTTTTTGGTCTTTGGTCGGACACGTCAACATCAACTTACATCAATCCACTGCACCANCACCAAAATGCCGTTGGAAAAAATGCGGCGAGATTATCTGTTTTTGGTCTTTGGTCGGACACGTCAACATCAACTTACATCAATCCACTGCACCACGCAGCATAAGATGAGCAACAGGGCCTCCGACGCGCTAATTAATTCTTTCGGATTGGCCATCTACATGATGCTGGCCGTCAGCGCGGCTGCCGCCCTATGATTGTTAAGCTCGTCTACCTTTGGGCAGTTGGTGGTCAAAGATGGGGTCGCAACCGTTAAAAATGAGCTGGCAACCTGAAGAAATCGTAAGCAACACCCAGGTTGCGACACTGCCCTGCGCCTGTATTGCTGAAAACTGAAAACAGCAGGCCGGGTCGATAGGAACTTTCTAAGTGCGTTGTCCTCCGTGTCGGGTGCTGCTCATTGAGCTTTTCCCGCTGCCCCCTATGGTGATCAACATCAAGTCAACCTGTTGTGTGCCGAGCAAAGCGTGTATCAGGGAATGAAACGTACTCTTTGCGATAACATCACGAATAGAGCAGGCGAAAAAAAGTCAGGTCTACTTTTCACCGTTCCGTGGAAAGTTAAAGTTGCACGACTTTTCCAAAGCGTTAGTATAATTATTCCCTAGCTCTACGTTTGTTGTTTTGGGGAATATCATCTGGCTCAGGGCGGGTTCCGAGCTAAAGCCGAATTTATTTGGGGGGGGG